TATTATTATTATTATTATTATTATTATTATTATTATTATTATTATTAACTTTGGGCATTAGAGTAACCAGATTAAAATACACAGCATAGATTTGCTTGCCTTATTTATGTAGTTTCCAATCAATTCAGCATTTGATATTGTTATGATTAAAATACTAAATTGAGTTGAAAATAGTGAAAGGAAGCCAACTAGCAAATCCAGAAAGCTTTTTTTTTTACAAGATTATTGTTTATAAGACATGGGTGAATAATATGGTTACTTGATGCCGAAAAGATATGTATCTAAGACTCCCGAAAGGTGTGCATTTCAGTAATTCTGTAGCTGCTCCCTAGAAGGGATCTTGTCTCATATCACTTAAAAAAGGTCTTCCCAAATTCATTTTAAGGGGTGGTTCTACATTCAATCCAGAAATGGACTGGGTACAAATACAGCAAATAAAGTGTAATATAAATGAAAAAGCACTTTATCCATCTTGTTTCCTTATTTTGACTCAACTGCAATTTCCAGTTCGTTTTCAAGAGAAGTATTGTGTAATTAAATACATCACAGTAGTCTATAAAGAGGAGATAAAAAGTGATAAAAATTACCAGATCACCAGAATACTCAACTACCAAAGGATTGACAGGCATGTTTTACATGATGTCATATAAAAATGTGTAAAGTATGATAGTTGTTGCAATATGAATTTAGACTATTGTAGAAGGACACTTCGATTCCTGCTATGGAAGAATGGTTACAGAAGTTGATGGAGTTGCCTGAAATGGCAAAACTGACTACCTTGATCAAAGAAAAGAACATAAGTATTTTTGTTTCCACGTGGAAAGCGCTTCTGAACTTCGTGCTTGATGTAGAAATGAATGAAACTTTGATTTTGGGTTTTCCAGATTAGATTGATAGATCTTTATAGAAATGACTTGTTCATACTATTATGGAAAAGCAAAAAGCTGTGATCTGTTGTTAATGCCTTATTCTACTGTAACAGAGAGAGTCAGAAGTCAATGCTTCTTTTTCTTTCCCTATCTTTTCTCACTTTTCTTCCCCCTTCCCCTTCATTGTCCTCCTACTTACTTATGTATTTTACAATACCTCATGTAAAATACTTATGTATTTTACAATAACTTAATAAAATGTGGTAATCGCAATATGAATTTAGGAGAAAGTTATTCTGAGGAACTGGTGTTTAATCATGGAGAGTCTGCTAGCTGTTTATATGTTTGCTACTTTTTGCATCTCTTCAAATAGCGGCAGGTTAAGAGGAAAATATTTTGCTCTAAATGTAAAAGAATAACAATGTCGTGGCAGGTAGAGCAACTGAAGGAAGAGCTAAATACCAGAGAGATTCAAGGGGAGGAACTGAAAAAAAAAGTGGCCGATCTCCAGACAGAGGTCTCTGCCGTAAGACTGAAGTTTCTTTGTGCGGCGCAGCGCTGCTAGCTTTCTGGGGTGGCTTACTTTCCTTCCTTCACCCTCTGCAACGCTAAAGAGCAAGAAAACTAACAGTACTGCACCTATCCTTATTCCCACCTAGTTGATATATTACAATATGTAATCTACTCCTTTGAACACCCAATATTAGTTGCTCAGCTTAAAAGATCACTACAGTTGCATGAATTGTAATTTTAGCGCTTAGAAAGAATATGAAAGGAAATTGTCACAGCATGGTTCATATCTTTGAGATGCATGTATTAAGCTTTTGAAATGAATACTGCTAATCTTGTTTTAATAAGGTTACATAGTTTTAATGCACTATCAGGGGCATAAATATGCATCTTGTGTTGCTTTAATTTCCTGGAATGATGCTTTTGACATATCATGCATGGACACATTAGATGTCTTTCATAGTTTTATGATTTATTGTATGCAGCAAATTCAATTTCTAGTTCTAATAAAATGCATTTCTCTGATATATATTTAAAAGAGGAATTTTACTGTTTGAGAATGTGTGGGTTAAATCTGTGGCCTTGAATCCATTCTGTGCTCCTTTCTAGGTGGGAAAAAAAATAAGATTTTGTTTTTAAAAAATCCCACCTTTATTATTTTATAAGTAACTCAAAGCAGCAAACATACCTAATACTCCTGCCTCTTCCTATTTTCCCCAGAACAACAACCCTGTGTGGTGTGTTGGACTGATAGAGAGCAACTGGCCCAAAGTCACCTAGCTGACTTTCATGCCTCAAGCAGGTGTGGAACTCACAGTCTTCTGATTTCTGGGCCAGCACCTTCACCATTATACCAACATTTATGTGTTTGAGAAGTTTGATTTGTTGATTTTGAAAGTTTCTGAATTGTGTATCCTCCTATAAATGTTATTTAGTTGTCATGTGTAGGAAATAGGAAACGATTGTATTTTTCATCTAAAAAATTAAGTCTTAAGGCAAAAATGAAGTGAAGATACACCTGTCTTTAAGGTCAGGCAGTAGATAGTATTGATAACAAAGGAAGTGGAAATGCTCTGCTTTTTGGCATCTTGATATTACTATTGAGAGCTAAAGATATTTTTAAAGAGCCGGAAGTATATTGAAGGATGAAAAGATTACTATTTTTTATTTAAATTCCTTCCATGGGCTGGGGTCGGCAATATGATATCCACAGATATAAAGGCATATTTTGCCCCCAAAAGATTTTACCCAAAATGATGGAATAAATTGAGATTGCTAATCTTCATCAGATTTTGATTTTATTGCTCAATTTTATTGCATGAAATTTCACGAGATTTTAATGTTCTTGTATGGAATCTAGCAAGATTTTGCCATTTTCACATAAGGTTTTAAAAGATGGCCAGCATATTTTAAGACTTTAGCTACTCTTCAGCTAGTAGTTAATTATCCCCAAGCCTTGAAAATAACCCCAAAACTATGTTTGCCCATGTATGTTGCTCTGGTTTATATTTATATTTTATCCTGCGTCTCTTGAAGTCTGAGGAAGTATATAAAGCTAAAGTGAAAAAAGATGTGAAGTAATAATAATGCAGACATGTAATACATTCTGGTGATAGTTTTCATGAAATCGGAACAATTTCTGCTTATTAAAAACCAGGGTTATTTTTCCTGCTGTTCACTTTTTAATGCTTTAAAAAAATCTTACGCTACAACTGATTTCCTTGGTATTTGGGCCTTTTTCAATTTTGGCTTTCCATAACTGCGAGGCTAGTGGTTATAAGAGAAACTGTTTACTACAACTATAACGTCTTATAGTCTTCCTGTCAAGGATTTTTCTTTTAGGAATGCTTTATTCTCTTTTCCTCAGAAATTCTGTAAACTTAACACAAAAGCATGCTTTTTTCACGTTTACTATTCCTTTATTCAGATTCCTTGAGCTGGCTTGATGCCATACCTTGTTGGTCTAAACTGGAATGAAGCCATTTCCATAACGCTTCTGAATGCATTCTTGCCATTTGATAACATATATTCTCATACTTGGTTCTTCCTATAGATTGGTCAAGTGAAACAGGAACTATCCCGGAAAGATACAGAGTTGCTGGCTTTACAGACAAAATTGGAAACCCTCACAAACCAGTTTTCTGATAGCAAGCAACATATTGATGTACTCAAGGAATCCCTCACAGCAAAAGAACAGAGAGCTGCCATCCTGCAAACAGAGGTAACAAACATATCCCTAATTCCGGGGAGTTCTGCACGATATTTAGATTATTGGGTTGGGCTGTGGAATGTGCATTCCTTCTGTTTTATTTTTTTCTTCAGTTCTTCTTAAGTTAGAAGGAAAATCTGTGACTTCCTAGTTCCAAACTTGAATGTCTCTTTAAATAGAAAGAATTGAGAAAACGAAGAATCTGATCTATTCAGCAGTATCCACTAGTTAATCTATAAATGCAGTATGAAGATAATAGTTCTCCCCATTGTTTATCACTTGCAACTGGTGACAAACTTTAGAAGATCTCTGATTCCTGAATATTGATAATTCTCATAGCTTTTGATAAACAGAAATTCCAGTCCCAATTACATTAAATGAGAAATATCTGTAATTTGGTGTCATCCATAACCTTTCCTGATGTGATCATTTAGGTCCCAATGAGAAGAAATAATTTATTTTCATCCAGAGTTAAAACTGGCTCGCCATTCCTACCTCTATTTTGTGTTCTTTAACTAGTCTACAAGACACCCTGCCTGTTTATCAGCTACTAAACTTGTTTACATCTGCACTGAAATTAAACCTGATTAAAGTTAACTTCCTCTTAATCAGGTTGTCTTATGTTACAAATCCTCATTTCAGGGCATAGTAGAAGACAAATGCACTTAATTTAAACGCTTGTATAAGACATTTAGAATTAACACTGACAGAAATATGAGATGATTTCACATTGTAAAAGAGATCATTTTATTTTGTAACTTGCTGCCAGTCTTATAATTAAATATGTCAAAATTGATACAAATACAGCATTGAACATTTTTTGGTATTGCTTTTCCAGTTCTGTGCAACATTTTAAAGTCTTGGCTGTATTCTGCTTTATCTTTTATTTACAAATGCAGGAAGTACTTGATTAATTATCACAGTTGGGACCAAAATGCTGATCATTGAGCGAGGTAGAAGTTGACACTTAACTGCTTCGCTCAACAACACAATCTTGGCACTCTTGGTTATGGTTGTTAAAATTGGGTTGTTAAGCAGCTGGAATAAGAAGCATGGGGTTCCTCTGGGCGATATGGGAGATCCTGTAAGGCTCTGCTCAGGAGATGAAAAGCCTCCCTGCCAAAATCCAAACAGAATTTTCAACTCACAAGCAAAGAAACACTCATGTACGGCTTGCGCCAAACCTCCCAGGGTCTCCCATACCCCTTTACCGTGCTGACTTTGCTTGGATTTCATTTAACTCTTTTCTCTAGATTAGGGGTGTCAAACTCAAGGCCCACCGGCCAGATCTGACCCACAGGATGCTTAAAAACAGCAAAGGACTGGCCCACGGTGCCTCTGCCAGCGAAAATTGAGCCTGTGAGGGCCACACCACAACAGCCTCTGTCAGCTCTCTGTCAGCTCTCTGTCAGCAAAAACAGAGCATGTGTGGCAGGATGCCATTGTGGCTGAAAACGGGACCCAGGGCCCACAAGCAGCTGCCCTGGCTCTGTTTTCACTGACAGAGGCTAGCAAAAGAAGCTAAAAACAAAACAAAAGGACAAATGTTTCCCCTTTTGTATTTGAGCACCCAAGAAGAGACAGGAAAGGAGAAAGGGAAAGAGGAAAGACAAAGAAAAAGAAGTAAAGAGGGGAAGAGAGCAAGGAAAAGAAGGAAGAAGAAAGAGGGAGGAAGGGAAGGAAGGAAGGAAGGAAGGAAGGAAGGAAGGAAGGAAGGAAGGAAGGAAGGAAGGTTATAATGAGAGGGAGCGAGGGTCTTAGCACTTGGCCACCACAAGTGCCCCCAACATGAGTGATGTCAAGCTGGCTATGCCCACCCTGAAATCAAACACAACCCTTCTGCGGCCCTCAATGAAATCGAGTTTGACACCTCTGCTCTTGAAGGCTGGATGAAAGAGCTGCACGCTGAAGGAATTCAGCTTCCCTCTGAAGGAACTCCTTCAGTGGGATGCAAGAACAAAGCTGAAGGATTTCGGACTCCATTTCTGGACTCCACCGAAGGAGTTCAGCTCCCTTCCACGCATGGAAGCAAATTCCTTCAGTGGGGTGCAGGAACAGAGCCAAAATCTTCAGGAATCTTTCAGCCAGCCTCAAAAATGAGGGGGAGTCCTCTAGGCAGGAGGCAGCAGCTTGCAGCCTTTTCTGCAAGGTTTTTTTTTTCTTTCTTTCTGTGTCTTTTTGTCTTCTATGCAACCACGTGGTTTGTTCCTTAAGATTTATGCCTTCCTCAATTTAACTGAGATATTTATTGTGGGAATGATCAGTGTGTGTGTAAACCTCAGAGTTTTGTTTTCCTCTCTGTGTCCATTGTGTGTGTGTGTGCATGCACGTGTGTGTGTGTGTGTCTAAGTCTTTTTGTGTCCTCAAGGTAACTGTTGCAACTGTTAACTGTCTCTGATCCCTTCAGATATTAATTTTAAATTGTTAAGAATTAAAAACAGAGAGAAAATGTCTTCTTCCAGTCTGGTCTGGCCAACTAGACTGGATGAGGAACAGAGTTCAATTTTATTTCCTCTCTGTGCTTTTAAGAAAAACCCAAGGTTATTAGTGAATGTTTTAAGTTCATTTACAAGAAAAGTTTCGTCCTTGCATTTACTGTGTGTTTAAATGATTTTACCTTTTCATCCTTTTTCCTGAAGCATGTGAATCCAGTTTTTTCCTTTCTCATCTGTTGTGTCTCCATTTTGTTGAAACTGATTTCTCTGTTTAGTAACTGCAATACTGATGTGTTATTTTTCTTCATCCTCAAACCATGCCTGCAAGCTATCTATCCCCCACCAATCCTGATATAATTACCAGTGAAGGGGGGAGGGGACCCTTTGTTCTTTGTCTTTCAGCCCTGCCACATGTGGAAACAGATGCTGCCCCTAGAGACATTCCATCCATTGGAGCCTAGGTTCCCCATTGGCATTCTAGGGAAGCTGGCGGAGAACATTGCAGCCACATGATCACTTGTAGCTGGTGACAAACCCCAGAAGATCTCTCTCATCCCTGAATATTGATTCTCCACCATTCAGCACCATTCACTATAACAGGTTGCCAAGCACCTGGATCCTAATCATATGACCTCAAGGGTGGTGGTGGTGCGATATTTTGCAACGGCCAGGAGTACTAATATAGGCTATAAAGCACTCTTTCCGAGACCATTATATAAATAGTCATAAGTTGAGGACTACTGGTATGAGCAAACGGTACATATAAAATTATCAATTTCATGTTAAGATTCAGGTTCTTCAAAAGAGAGAAGTTTGTTTCCAGAAGTCCTTTAATCTTGACATTGAAAAATGAATGACGGGGAATTGAGTATTTGGTTCTTTGCTTTAAATATATCAATATCATAAATATAAAGGGAAAAATCAAGCATTCTTGCGGCTTTTACATTAACAGTGGTATTGTCATTGTTGCTTTGAGGTGTATTTGTGTGCCATAGATTAAATATATGTTCTGGCAGACCATGTGTATTGAAAATAATACATATAGGTGTGGGTAAAACTTCCATTACATTTTTAACTGGGAAATGTTCAATATAAACATAAATAACTGTGTGTATATTTTTGTGTGTATGTAATTGCTTTCTTATGGCTAACTAAAGTTATGTATATTAGCCATAAGAGGGCGTCAGTATATTAGTTATTAAAATTTGTCTTCTGTTAGAATCATCAGAATAAGATTACATAGATTGCAAATACCTAATTGGGAAACAATTTGTAAAATACCAAATTATCATTTTTATAGCTATAAGTTTCTTTCTTAACAGCTAAATAAATGTTATATTTCACGTTGGTTCTAAAGCTTGAAATATTCTAAATTGACAAAATCCTAAATTTCAAGATATTTTTACACATTAATTTATATTATGACTCAAAATGCTTTTTTTCCTAACATTAAATAGATTTTAGAAAATTTACAGTGCTCTTTAAATGTTTAGCCTAACAATTTGCAGTTACCTGATTTAAAACCTTTCCATTTAACAGTTTGAGGAGGGGCATATTCTCTTACTGAATATTTCTACAAAGAGTCTGAAAGAAAAAATAAAAACTGTACAGGAAATTGTACAATGAAAGTTAGATGAAGAAAGCTTCTGAGAAGCATCATAAATGAAAAACCAAAAAAAATTGGTCTGTAATAGTATAGGAATGGAGATGACATTTCTTAAATCTTTATTACCAATTATTTTGTGGTCCAAAAAACTTTTTTTGGGGGGTGGGGGGGCTTTAAAGCAGTATGGGTTTCTGTTATTTAGTACATAAATATGTATCTTCAGAGAGAACATGAATTAATAACAGCTGCCAGTATGTTTCACATTTGCCAGTGGCCAAGAAATTCAATATGTTTTCTGCATAATGAATTTCTTTGGGGTAATTAATGAATCAGTGATATGAATTATTACCACGGACACCATTGGATTTATAAATTTACATTTTATATTTTTATGTGCTTTGTCTATTTTGTTTTAAGTTGCCTAATGTTGGCAATGACTTTTGTAACAGTGGTCTGAAATGCAAAATATCTTGAGCTTGTTTATTCCAAAAGGCAAATAGGTAGAGAGGCTATTGTAGCAAGTTTGAATTTGAGAAAGAGGCTTCATAAATAGGCCAAGGAACTTAGAATATTTTTGTAAATAAAGCAAAATACAGATCAACATTTATTTTGGAATAAAATGTTTCATCTATATTTAATTTTATTACTGTGCACGTGATCCCTTTGGCTTACAAGAATATTGTGCTAAATAGTTTTCTTAAAATAGTTTTTGTTTGTTTCTGGGTTTTTTTTAAGTGCCAGTTATTTGGCCTACTTCTTAACAATTCAGTGTAGAAACATGAATTCAGTGCCCAAGAAATGTATTATTTTCTCATGTGAAAATATTTACTAACATTCCAGTTTTGTCTTTTCTGCACATACAAAGTAAATCTCTACTTCTATTTGATATATTTAAATAAAATATTTAAGACACTGACTGTGATTTTGAATTGTAATTTTACATATGCACACAAACTTACATACACTTAGAGAAGTATCCCTTGGTTAATGACTTCTTGTTTAGCAACCATTTGAACTTGTGCATATTTGATTACAGCTTTCTAATAAATCCCCTTTCCCTGTTTGCCTAATATACAGAAAAGAAACTATAGGAAATAATAATTTAGTTATATTGTCTAGGAATCTGAACTGCAGTGATAGTAGAGTATGTCAGTTTGGTAGTCATAATTCACTACTGTACCATACAGGATAGGAAGAACATTCAAAGATATAGTTTCTTCCAATTTCTAGTATAATAAGAGAATTTTCCCTGTTCTTACAAACTTACAAAATACAATTTGATAATTCCTTTGTCAAGTTCCTATTTTTTTAACCTTCTCCATCCATAAATTCTTTCCTAACAGCAATTCTTCATCATTTATTATTTGCTAATCAAATTTGTAAGGTTGCCTATCTACCCAGTTTAAAACATCAAAAGTTAAAAAAAGAAAGAAACCCAGGTCCAGAGCCTCTCATTAAAAACACAAAGTACCTATCAGTGGTGGCTAACCTTTTTTGGCTCCTGTGCTGAAAATTGCATGCGCGCGTGCCAGCATCCAGAAGGCAATGTGCGTGGGGGCTGTCCACGCCCCCTGCGCATGTGCGCTTGACCTTCCGTGCTCACCGCACGTCTCTGCACTTGCACATCTCTGCACATGCATGCATGATCCCCTGCACACCATGTGTCTGCATGTGTGAGAGACCCCCCGTGCGCGCCGCAAGTCTGCGCATATGTGCGTGCCTCCTACACACCCCCACTCCCCATGCATGCGCACCAGATACCCAACAATCAGCTGGCAGGCGGGTGGTATGCGCACATGCACAGTGGGGCTCTTCCAGGTGACCTCTCACGTGCCAGCAGAAGTGGCTCTGCGTGCCACTTCCGGCACATGTGCCATAGGTGTCAGGATTCGCCATCACGAATTGTCAATAGGTTCACCATCACGGCTATACATCCTCATTGATGTATCCAAATTAGCAGCTTGGCCAGAATCTGGGAGAAGAGCTAGGTCTTTTGAAAATCCAATAACACTAGGGTTGTCCATGTTTCTGGGGGAAGACTTTTCCAGGAACTAGGACCTATCAGGGATCAGTACCTCATTGAGGGGACCAGGAGTATGCAGATACAATTGGAGCAAATAACCTAGCCCTATGCCATGTAGGACTTTGAAGATGACAACCAATACCTTGAATTGCATCCAGCAGCAACTTGGTCAGCCAAAATATGATCACTGGATGGCAGTATGCGGACTGAATAAGAAATAAGTATGTCTCCCCCTCCTCCTCCCCCAAATGACCATAAGTTAGTCCTTAACACAAACCCTTTTCTGTGCTTAGTTGGAGTTTCTTCTCTTTCTCCAGAAGCTCTATGGGTGGCTCTTTTGTCACTTCGTTCCCCTTAGTATATCTGAAAATCAGAGACTCTGTGGATCTCTGATTCAAGGCCAACATTGCTTGCTCATTCCAAGATTGTGGCTTTAGTAGAATCATACACCATAGCTATAGAAACTACTCTAAGCTGGGTCTATCAGTTGCCTGGGCAGACTGAATAAATAGGTCCTTCTCCCTATAGTGGGGAACAGCAACAGAGAGAGATCTACCCTCTTGACTTACTAATTCTTAGTGAGGAAGAGAAGAAGAGAAATACAGCACACATGTATTGATCAATTATTTGTTAGCAGTGTTTACTTGCTTAAATGCTTTTTTTCTTGTGACTGAATTCAGGTAGATGCACTTCGTTTGCGCCTGGAAGAGAAGGAGGCAATGTTGAACAAAAAGACTAAGCAAATTCAAGAGATGGCTGAGGAGAAGGGAACTCAAGCTGGAGAGATTCATGATCTCAAGGATATGCTTGATGTGAAAGAACGCAAGGTTAACATTCTTCAAAAAAAGGTAGGCTTACCAAACATGGTTTTAAAAACTGAACCCCCTTTTTATTTTCACCAGAATGTACCGTGTTTCTCATATAATAAGGCCGGGTCTTTTTTTTTTTTGAGCCCCGAAAAAATGGCTAGGCTGTCTTTTCGGGGGTGACTTAATTCCCCCCCCCCCTTGCATCTTCAGGCAGGCGGGCGGTGACGGCTTGGATGTTGACCTCGGCGTTGGTGGGGCACTTCGTATCGGGGTCAACGCAGGCAGCACCATATCCGGGTGTGCAACAAAAGTACTTCCTAACGGCAAGCCCCCCCACCATTCCCCCCCATTTCACATGTTTTAATATAGGCCTTAATTTGGGGGGAGGGCTTAATTTCATTTCATGCCTATAAAACATGCTGGGACTTCCTATTGGGGGAGGCCGTATTGTTGGAGAAACAGGGTAGCAATAGCCTTAGCTGTAAAGTTGCTTTCTGAAGCTCTTGATTGAGCGAGCCTTCTTTGGCTCTAGTAACGATGAACATATTTATATATTTATAGCAATGAATATATTTATAAATTCATGATAATTAACAACGATTCCTATGCTAAATTAAGCAGTACGTGAATTGTAATCAATATATGGATAAGATAGCCATCTGATTAGCCTCAACTGTATTCACTGTAATACTCATTAAATGAGTGGCAGATCCTGCATCACTTGCTAGAATGGTTATGCAATCAGCATGAACATATATGATGTTTCATCCAGATTATGCAAATCACACATGCAGGTTTTTCAAAGAATAATCTAGGATTGTTCTAGTTCTTTCGTCGTAGAAGCACTGATTTCATACTTATCTGGAGAGAATATTTTCTATTTGCAGAAACCTTTGGCAAATGTCTACCTCCTCACTTGTTTCACAACACAAGTAATCGTATCACTGAAAATATTCTCTGAGCTATTTTGTACTTTGATCAGGTTCCTATTGAATGATTATTTCTAAGGATAATTTTGTTTTATTTTTATTTTTTTCTTGCTGCATAAAGTACTATAGTTTGATAGGGTCAAAGCACAGGGGCTTTCATTTAAAAAAAAAATTATGAATTTAGATGCTTACCACATAGAGTCATAAGTTAATACTTATGGAAAGCATGAATTAAGTACAAGTTAACTACTATTTTTGTTAATCATTTATGAAGTAATGATACATAATAATCAACCTGCTTCCTTCCAGTTCTTTGGGTATAACCCCACCTTCTTCAATAATATAAATAGTAAGGAATCATGAAATCATAGTTCAAACATCTGGAGAAATCTATACTTCAAATACTGTATTTTTCACACTATAAGACACACTTCCCCCCCAAAAAAGGGGGTGGAATGTCTGTCCTATAGAGCGAATGTGGTGGGGGGAGGGGGGTTAGTGTCACTGCCGCCACCTGTCACTGCTGCCGCTGTTCTCCAGGAATGCTGGAGCCTTCGCTGCCGAGCAGCTGATTGGCAGTTGGATCAGCCTCCCGGAATACCACCAATCAGCTGTTCTAGGCAGTGGGGATTGCCGCCACTGCCGTTCGCCACCATTGCTGCCGATCCCCACCTCCTAGAACAGCTGATCGGCGATATTCCAGGAGCGAAGGCTCCAGCATTCCCCGGTGGCAGCAGCTCAGCTCAGCTCAGTTGACCTTGGTGGGTGCAGTGGAATGGAGCCCTGACAAACCATGTGCTGGGGCTGTGATAACGTGCTAAAACTGACCAGGCTGTTAGCTGTTTGCTGCAAGGATGCTAGCCAGATGAATACCAGATGGATGCTGGGAGACAGAGGCAGTTTTTTTGTTTTCTTTTTTTTCCTCCCCAAAAGCTAAGTGCGTCTTATGTTCCGGAGCATCTTATAGTGCAAAAAATACAGTACTTAATTGAGCAAAAAGTGGGATATAAATTGAACAAATAAATAAAATGATCCTAGATATTTTGAGCAGCTTTCTTTCTGTAGCACTTCTTTTATTCCAGTTTCCTCAAATAAGTGGTTAGAGTTAACCAGAATAAATCTGGGGAAATTAGTTTCATCAAGACATACAAGGTCTTAGCTACAAAATGTTTAAGATTACATCTTGAGTATAGTAGCTCTTCCTTGCAATGGAATGAATAGAAAGTCTTAGTCACTTTTACTTAACTGATTCTCATTAAATTAAAACATTGCTTGAGTATCAATACCAGTATCTCTTTGTTGATCTTTACCTGCCTAGCAGTAATTATATTCAGTAATTAGTTTAAGTGGGCAGGATTTTGCTTGTAAGAGTGCTAGGAATTCTATAAAACATGCAGAAAGTGGGTTGGTTTTTTGTTTTTGTTTTTGCTTTCTGTTATTTCATGTTATTATACTTACATTCTACTATATTTTAACATATATAAACATCACAGAATTAAATAATTATTGACATTCTTGAAAATGTGTTGTCTGCTTCACTGAAATCTGTGAAAGACTTCCTGACTGCTATTTATGTGAACTGTTTGCTAATATTAATTGAGAGAAATGAGCAGTGTGACAGCTTGTACAAGAAATAAAATAGATTTATAGAATAAAATGTCCTACAGAGCTCGTATGTCTATGTTACGAGCTTTACTCTAATTTTAATAGGTCCTCTTTAATCTTCTTCCCAGGGTGTATAAGAGGGAGAGAGCAGACACAATGGATTGATGAAATATGCATGTTGTCTCCATTACTTTTAGATAGCTGAGACAGTTTTATATTTTAGATTGATTTAAATAGGGTATTTCTCTTAGAGGTTGTATTCTTATGGCTGTATTGAATGGCATTTTTAGTTTGGTTTTTATTGGTTTGAATTATACATCATAGTTCTGTTTATTGTTAAAGTTAACACACACACACACACACACACACACACGTATGTATGTATGTATGTATGTATGTAAATCAATCAATCAGTTTTTTTCCAGACATACTTAGAAGGATTATTTTTTCCCTGCACTCTTGTATAATCTTCTTGTATTTGCACTATAACAGAGTAACTTGAGGTTCCTACATTACAACCATCAGTTCTCCATCAGTGTGCACACATTTTTCTTGTTTTTTTAAAAAAAATTATTCACAAGAAATTAAATAGGACAGTAATAGCTGATTAGACATTTCTCCCATGCAATTACGATAAATGCCATTCTCTGAAGAAATTCCCGTGTGGATTTGTGCTACAGATTTCTGAACTTTGTATTAAATCATTGACTTGGAAGATAGAATTGATGTTTCAATTAAAGTCAGTTTGGGAACATGTGTTAAAATAGTAGAAATTCCCACTTACTTTCTGGTACAGATTCTAAGATCAGATTTTCTCTATATGCCTATCAAGACCCTTCATATGTATTTTTATTGACTATATTTCTATTATAGGCCACCAATGGATTAAAGATACATGTCTTAACTTAGTCTTCTGCTTGTTTAGCCAACTGAACAAACAGTTCAGTTGAATTAACTGTTCATTCAGTTGGCTAATAAAATAATTGCCATTTCCAGAGAGATAGCTGTTGGTCACTTCAGCAAAATACCTGGGGACACTTTAAATTCTTGACAAATACATCATAAATTTTAATGGAAAGGAAATCCTCTAAATCCTAAACCTAACCTTTTCCCATAAGCCATACTTCTGATACCATTAGTTTCTCTATGCAGAGAGAAACAGAATAGAATAGAATAAAATAGAACAGAACAGAACAGAGCAGAACAGAATAGAATTATTTATTGGCCAAGTGTGATTGGACACACAAGGAATTTATCTTTGGTGCATAAGATCTCAGCGTACATAAAAGCTACAATCAACATAAATCATACTAGGAAACTAAATAAAGCAATATAAATTGTAAATATACAAGCAACAAAGTTGTAGTCATAAGTAGAAAAGGAGATAGGTAATAAGAAAGATGAGAATAATAATAATAATAATGCAGCCTTACTAAATAGTTTGACAGTGTTGTGGGAATTAGTTGTTTAGCAGAGTGATGGCATGGGGGGGGAACTGTCCTTGTGACTAATTATTCTGGTGTGCAATGATAAGAAAGTGCTTTCTTATTCAGACAAGCATAGAGGATACTAAGTGCTTCATGCTTTTGGAGACAGAATTGAACTTGAGGCCAAATGGTTGGCATTGCATAAAGGCAGAAGAAGCCTTAGAGCTTTAGGGGGTCTTCCTATGTTCCTCCTTGTTGCCATTCCCCCTGCCTGTAGATTCTGCACAATAGAACCATAAAGTCTGGACTTCAAAAATCTGGATGGCCACCAGTTATCAGCAAGGACAACTTTCCGTATCTAGTGGTGGTCTGGATTTTTGCAGGCCAGACATTGTGGCTGAATCGCAGGACCACAGTCAAAATAATGGCCAAATAAAGTAGTGGCTACGATATTTTTCTCTGCTACTCTCCATAGAGAATAGCAATTAGGATTATTGGATCCTGATAACTGTGATCCCTAACTGTAATCCCTCCCTGAGTTTTATGTTGTGTCCTTCCCTTAAGATTGAAAATCTTCAGGAGCAACTAAGAGACAAAGAGAAACAAATGAGCAGTTTGAAAGAAAGAGTAAAATCCCTGCAAGCTGATACCACCAACACCGATACAGCCTTGACTACGCTAGAGGAAGCACTGGCAGAAAAGGTAAGTCTGAAGGAAAGGAGGTAACATTATTTAAAGATTGTGCCTTCATCACTGTAGACATCTGTTCGAGAAGTACTTCTCTGTATCCTCTCATTTTATTGCTTGAAATGAAGAAAAATATAAATGCATACCATGGCATTAACAATATAATGCAAAGTTATTAATCCTCGTAATGATAAAAAATAAAGGAAAATGAAAAAATTTATAAAACAAGCAGACCTCCTCCTTCCTCCAAGTCAAAAGGAAAACAAATGAATTGAGATAATGACATTGTCAAGATTGCTTGCTCAAGTGGAATCTTGGAGTCCATAGGATTTTGATGTCCTTTAACATCAAATAATGAAAATAATCTTGCATGACAATTTTAGGTTCTCACTAGACCAGCAAACTTGGAATTTTAAAACTTGTTGACTTCCAATTCCCACAATTCCCCAGGCAACATGGCTGGCTGAGAAATTCTGGAAGTCCACAAGTCCTAAAGTTGCCAAGTTTGGAAACTTTTGCGGTGAACAACCAGTGACCCCTTGGGTCATTGTTTAGAGATTTTTCCTCACCAGATTCTTCAATACCACCAACCCTGGCAATTTCTAATGTATTACATTCACTAGAAAGGTTCTTAAAACTTCAAGGACACATTCAGAGATGCCTTTCAAGTTGCCCATGTTGACCACAGAAAATGTTTATGATATTTTGTTGGAAATGACTTGTGACTATTTGATGTCATAAAAGTTTTATAAAATTTGCCAAATTTCAATTCCACTGGAGTCATGGGTCCCAGATATTGGACACATTCTCTAAGTTAGCCCTTAGTTGAGAAGGTTTACCCTGACTTGCACCATTTTGCTCAGTAAAAGGGTACAGACATGAAAGTTAGTAGTACATAGATTTTTCTGTAGAGAAATGATAAGTATGATATTAGAACTTGAGTCACCTATACTGCAATTTGAATTCTAACCTCTTTTTCTTTCACTTCCCTTTACCTGCAGATAATGACATCTTAGTGTGGTTATTGTCACTCTAAAGTGAATTTATAAATTTGTAAATATCTATTTCAAAGTAATCAATGATGTTTTTCAATTGAAAAAAACAGAACTCTTATCTTTCCATAACATAAAGCCTGATGCCTCCACTGTGAAGCTCCTTTCTTATCTATGTATAGTATTATATTGCATCCTTTGTCATTTTTGTTAGTAATGCCATTTTTAGAAATGAATTGCTGCCTCAATTCTTAGTTTCTGAAAATAAAAATCCTTGCAAGTTATTTAATAAATTATTTCAAATATTGACCATTTAATGGTTTCAAAATAAAATGATTACAAGCATTTATTTAAAATCACATTTCTTCATATTCTTTAAAATCCAATAAATTGAATTTACTGGGACTTGTATTCTGAGTGAGATGGGAATTATTTGAAATCAAAGAGTTTATGTCCATTAAAAGATTATGTTTCTTTGACAATGCTATTCTGTTTTTGCCAGGAGCGTACTATTGAGCGTCTCAAGGAGCAGCGTGACAGAGATGAGCGAGAAAAACAAGAGGAGATTGACAACTATAAAAAAGATATGAAAGACCTTAAAGAGAAAGTCAGCATCTTGCAAGCAGATCTTACAGAAAAGGAGGTTAATCTTAGAGATGCATATATACATTTTGGAATTGCAACATTAAAAGGGGGTTATAATAGTTTACTTACGTACTGATATTGGTTAACAATAATGGTGCATCTCTGAATTTAGATATTTCAAATGTAGTCTAAAGTCCACTGAGAAAATGAGCAAGAGGGAAGATAAAAATACACGATTCTGAAAACAAATAAAGACAGCACAACATATACTGTGCTGAGAGTCCTTGGAATGCAATTGAAATAGACTATTCCCAGTAGCCACTTGCTGTACCCAGACTAGGCTCCCCAAAGGTGATCTTATTGCGTAGGGGAAAAGAAATCAGTGGGCAGAGGCATTCCTTCAGTCTATGGAGTTTGAAAACTAATTAAGTTCATCTTGATTCTAAGCTGACAACTAAGTTAAATGAGTAATTGCATCATTTGCATAACCTTATGTCAAAAGTAGGGGTGTGCAAAACATTGGAGTTTGAAATATTTCAGTTGTTACACGCTCAGAATCAATCTAAAAGTTGTTTTGAGTTCCAAACAAATCATGTTTTCTTTGGTACTTGGACCAAGACTTCAGGTGGTATTTTCTGTATTTCACATGGAAGCACTTTCAGTGTGTGTTGCCTGTGCCTTGTGATCAGGTTTTTTTTTTAAAAAAAAAAAAGAAAATCCATCTAAGCTAACATAGTAGATGCAACCATCCATAAACTGTCCAAAACAACAGTTACTTAAATCTGTGGCTTAGACCTAAAGCGTATTTTGCACTATTGTTTTTTGCAAATCTATGGCTTAGGCGATTGTGTATTTTGCACTATTGTTAGAGACAATCAGGGCTCCACAGCTGAATTATTGCAAAAGCTCCTTGAGTTGCAAGTTGTAAATGCAAGGACCACTACTATTACAATACTGAGTTAGTATAGTTTAAGTTGCTTTGTTGAATTTTGGACTATGTGTGCACTGTTGCTAATGAGTTGTAAATGGGTAGATATAAATGAATGTAGAAACTTAAGGCATAGATTTGTTTTGTCTTTTCCTTATTTAACATGAATGATATGTATGAAAGAATGCAGCAATCCACAGAAACCCAAAGCAGAACACAAATCTACAAAGGCCAACAGACCTATTATTTTTTGCTGGGCTTCAGCTTTTGAGGCTGAAAGATCTCCTACTGCCTGCAGTGGTTTCTTATTGGAATTTTTAAAATAAAAACAATTATCCTGGTGATTTTTTTCTGCAGAATGGATGACAGACACTGATATCTGTGATCCTTGGGTGAAAAATTAGGAAGGGAAGACTTATTCCAAAATTCCATGGTTTTCTATAGTCAGAATACATGAAACATATTTTTTTAATTCTGTTGAAATTGTTGAATTGCTTCTATATAGATTTCATTGGAAAATAATCTATTTAGAATGTTTGGGAGAAGGCTTATTGTTCCAAAATCAAAACTAATTTTGTTTCCCATTTTATACACCCTTACACATTCTGCTAGAATCGATGAAACAAACCTTTATGTTGTAAAAAAAGAACCATTTATCAAACTATTTTTAGATTTACAGCATATTAAATGAATTTGATATTTTTTATTAATCTTGAAAGTCCCTTCCAAACTCCTATTGTTTATTTAAACAAATACACAGCTTACCACAATGAAAATAGTACAATAGCTATTTTTAAGTCATACATCCTTCAAATGGTTTTAAACACTAGTAACTAACTTGTAACTAAAAACACTTCAATCTGACTCTGAAATAGTATAGTATATGTGGAGTGGAATAGAGGGGAATGGAGTGGAATGGAATGGAATAATCCATTATTGTGATGTAGTCTTCAAGTCTTATGAAAGACCACAATAAATATTTGAGAATGGGAGCAATATCTGTCACTGCATTTATTGTCTTGTAGACTACACTCCTGGATTTGAAGGAACATGCTTCATCATTAGCATCAGCAGGATTGAAAAAAGACTCTAGACTGAAAACATTAGAAATTGCTTTAGAGCAAAAGAAGGAAGAATGCCTGAAATGTGAATCTCAGCTGAAAAAGGTAAACATTATATACTGTCTCCTCATAAATGAAATTTTAATTATGACTTTAGGCTTGTTTCATTGTATCAGAAGTTCATTGCTATGCAGAATAAGTAAAATTATTTATTTACATCTTATTCTGTTTGGGAAGATGTTCCTGTCCATTTTCATATGATATTTAAAATCACACATAAGTATTCAAAAGGTTATCAGCTAAGTCAGGGGTACTTAGATCTGGCCCATGGGGCTACCCTAGAAACAGCGAAGGACCAACCCACAGTGCCTCTGTCAGCAAAGATGGAGCTTAGGAGGGCCGTGCGCAGCCCTCCCGGGCTCCATTTTCGCTGGCAGAGGGCTGCAGGAGACTATTGCAGCAGAAAATGGAGCCTGGGAGGGCTGCAGGAGGCCCTCATGAGCTCCATTTTTGCTGGCAGAGTGCTAGCAAAACAAACTACTAGCAAAAGTGGCATTTGATCACATGAGTCTTGTCAAGCTGGCCACGCCCACTATGGCTATGCCCACCCCAAGGTCAAACATGATCCTGATGCCGTACTAATAAAGTAGAAATAAATCATATATGTTGAATGAGTGTTCAAAGGAGGTGTTGATAATTGAAAATCTGCAAGTCAGAATGTTAAGAAAACTTATGAACTAGGGAAAGCTACTGAAAATCTTTATGGCAACACTTCCAATCTGGAATAGTGGGGTTTTTTGGCTTTCAGAAATCACCATAAAAATCTTACTTTTTTTAAAAAAAATCACCATTTTTAAAGAAGACAGGAAATCTATCCAAATAGACAGTCCAAATCTATCCATAACCACAGACTTCCATAATTAGAAATCAGCCCAAAGAATGTATCTCAGTTGGCAGAAGAGATGGACACCTGTATTATACTAACCTGTCAGTAGTATTTCAATTCTATCCAGTCAGTAAAATTATAAGTCAGTTTGAATAATCTTAAGACTTTCAAGACTTTTAATCTCTTGAAGAATGTTTGTGGTCAGATGTATTTCATGTCATGCAGCCTTGCGGAGTTTCTTGGGAATTCCAGGAAGCCCATAAGATATTATGGTAAAGTTATCTGGACTAAAATCTGAGTTTCTTAAGATATTCAAACAAAAGCAAAAACTGGCAACAGTTGGAAAGAAAAAAAATTATAATAGATGCTTCAGTAGAAAATTAAGAAATATTGCAGTATAAGTTATTCCAATTATTTTTTTAAGACTTATTCTATTGCTTCTAGGATAGGTGAAAATACTCAGTCTAAAAATGTGACCAGTATTGGACACTCATACATTAACAAATCTAAATAATACTTCATTATGCTGGTCTACAACTACAATAAAGATTTGATTTATGTGAATATTAAATGAACTAAGAGTACAATTTTTGTTGTTTAAGAATTAATATATCTTCGTACTATAAGAAGAACCAGGCTCCACTTTGTAGGCAATGGCTCTCCTTACATTTTTTTTTCAGAATAAAATATTTTGTAGCATGGATGTGCAAAATAACTCTTAGAATGTTTTTTTCAAAAGGCTTATGAAGCAACCATTGAGGCCAGGGCCAATCCAGAGATTAATGATAGATTTCAGCAGATCGAAAAAGAGGTGGCCCAGTATCGAGAAGAGTCTACCAAGGCTCAAGCTGAAGTTGATCGCTTGCTGGAAATCCTAAAAGAGATGGAAAATGAGAAGAATGATAAAGATAAGAAGATAGCTGAACTGGAAAGGTGAGAAGGGTGTAAGAGAGTGGGGAAGGAAAGACAAATTTCATATATATTGAGCTTTTAAAAAACTATGGGTGGGTACGCAACTTAAAACAATGTTTTCTTAATAGTTGAGAAGTCTGCCGTTTTTTGACTATTCTGAAAGATAAATTGAAATTTTGGGATTCTCTCTAGTGAAGTACTTATCTTTTTTACTAGAGACTTCCTTAATTTACTTAATAAGGATTTGGTGAGATATTTTACTTGTGGACACAGTTTAAGATGTTGGTTTTATAAGTGGAGTGTCACAAGGTTCAGTCTTAGGCCCAGTACTCTTCAATATCTTCATTAATGACTTAGATGAGGAAATAGAAGGGGAACTTACCAAATTTGCAGATGATACTAAGCTGTCAGGAATAGCTAACACCCAAGAAGTAGATAAGCTCAACATCCAGATGGATCTTGACAGACTAGAACACTGGGCAGTATCTAACAAAATGAAATTCAATGTAGAGAAAAGTAAAGTCCTACACTTAGGTAAGAAAAATCAAAAGTACACATATAGACTGGGTGAAACCAGGCTCAATAGCAGTAACTGAGAGGGATCTTGGAGTCTTAGTGAACAATCAGCTAAATGTGAGCCATCAGTGTGCAGCAGCAGCCAAAAAAGCTAATGCAATCCTAACTTGTATTAACAGAGGGATACAATCAAGATTAAGGGAGATACTAATACCACTCTATAAAGCCTTAGTAAGACCACACCTAGAGTACTGCATCCAGTTTTGTTCACCACATTATAAAAAAAGATGTTGAGACTCTAGGAAAAGTACAGAGAAGAGCAACCAGGATGATTAGAGGACGAAGAACGGTTACAGGAACTGGGTATGGCTAGTTTAGTAAAGAGAAGGACCAGGGGAGACATGATAGCAGTCTTCCAATATTTGAGGGGCTGCCACAGAGAGGAAGGGGTCAAGCTATTTTCTAAAGCATCTGTAGGCCAGACAAGGAATAATGGATGGAAACTGAACAAGGAGAGATTTAACCTGGAAATAAGGAGAAACTTTCTGACAGTGAGAACAATCAACCAATGGAACAGCTTGCCCTTGGAAGTTGTGGGAGCACCATCACTTGAGACTTTCAAAAAGAGATTGGACTGCCATTTGTCAGAAATGGTGTAGGGTCTCCCGCTTGGGTGGGAGGTTGGACTAAATGACCTACAAGGTCTCTGCCAACTCTGATTATCTGTTATCTGTTAACTTGACTACTATCTAAGGAACCATGCATCTCCATACGAAGCTTTCTGGACATTCTGGTTAGCGGCAGAGGTGTTTTAAATACTTTTGTTTGCCAGGTACATGAGGAAAGGGCCTTTTCCTACTGTGTACAAACTGTAAAATGCACAGAGAGCTGCACTCAATCTCCAGTCTTCTAGGACCTCCCTCTTCAGCCAAGACTTTCATGTTTGAGCCAGTTTAGTAGTGATTTAACCATTTTTATAGGAGTTTAATTGATTGTTTTATATTTAATTATTGATATCTTCAGTACTATATGGGCAAAAAAGCACGGTGTAAATCCTATAAATAAATGCTGCCACAAGCCAGTAAAATTATATAGATCGAAGTCACTTCTTAAGGAAATGTTCACTTAATCCTCGAAAGAAATAGCTTCATGGAATCGCTATTTCTTATCTTCTGGATTATTCTTTCATTTGATATAATATTTCAATGTGTCAACAGATCGATCCAGAAATCTAAACCTAACCCTAGCCGTAGACAACTGCAGGCAAGTATATTATAGGGAAAAGCTGTACATTTAGCATTGCCAATTCTCACGTTGAGTTTGATAGGGAAATGCAAAGTAAGCATTTTATTAAGAACGCACTAATAACTGACCACAGCAAATTCTCAGGATTGGATTACCAGCTCAGCTTTGTCTTTGGGTGGTACTTATCCGACTTAAAGTCAAAGATAGTTTTAAGAGGCAGGAGGCCTTTCTTCACCTGTTATCTTGGAAGGCACTTCATAAGTGAGGGGAAAAGAGTTTTCTCATAGCTGTTTCCCATAAATAATAGAAAATCAATGCAGTTATCTCTGATATATCTGTTACAGTCAACTTTAAAAATATTAATTTATTATTATTTATTTCTTAGCATCTTTTGATTTTCTGTTTTCTAATGAAACAGAAAAATAAAACAAAACCTTCTTGCTCTGAACTTGCTTTTCCATAATCATTTTTCATTGATATTTATGTTGCATTTTTCTTTCTTTCTTTCTCCGGCTCTCTGGTTGATTTATTGTATGGTTTCTTTGGCAATGCCTTTTCTCAATAAGCATATATCATGCAGCCTATCTTCCTACCCAGGATCTTCCCCTGCATCACAGCCTGTAAGGAAGGTTTTTATGGAAGTTTGTAGGATAGAGAATTTTGTTCAAGGCTAATTGTTTCTTTTCTGTGAGATGTTGTTTTATACTCATTGGCTACAGTTTTTCTTGGGTTTTTTTCAGTATTTATTATTGAGTGAATATTTATTGCATCTTAACAATGCAATTTTTATAATAGTCTACCCGCATGAAATTACAAGGTCTTTGGAGTGATTTAATTTTTTTAATCTCGCCCCTTATTCATTGGCAATATTGCTATAAATTTATAATATTGCTGTGAATAAAATCCCCAGTAGTGTTTCCCCATTAATTTTGAACCCATGTGTAAATAAGTACAAACAATTGAGGAAACTATTGTAAGAGCATAGGGAAGCATAGAGCATTTGCAGCATCCTATTTGTATGAATCGAGGGAGGTTTTTTTTACTATAAAAACAAATATAAATAAAAATAAATAAGGCACTGGAAATGAGAAATGGATGTCTTGAAAATGAAACATAGTTTTCAGGAAATATGAAAAAGTTAACAAGTTTTCCATTAAATGATATAGCTTTTAGTAAAGGGAATGTTATGAAGGAAAGGGTTTTGCTTTATTAAAATCACTAGTTTCTATTATTGCTTTAGTTAATATATAAATTAAAATTTCATTATCAAAGTGATACATTTGTTATCTAGCTTATAAATTCATTTGTCATTTAAGGGGTTGTGATAACACAGAATCGGAGAACCCCCGTGTACATTATGAAAATTTCAGAGTTATATATAACACATACTGCATATAATGCAGTACTTTGGAATGTGTATGCATGCACACAATTATAGCATATATTTGATTTTAAAAATATAAAGTCCATATTTAATGTTGAAACTACAAACATAAAATTCCTGATTGTTGCAGCCTTTTTGTCATCAGGAGCAAATGATTTATCAAACAGATTGTAAACTGTTTTGCTATGTAATTTAACCTAATGCCATTTCTTGGCAAAAAATAAATTTAATTTTTCACAGTTTTAAAGGAATGGTCTTAGAAAATAGTTATAATGTCTTTTATTATAAGCAAGTAAGTGATACATAAAAAGGAAACATTGACTGCTATTTCTGTTTTTAAATTCTTCTTGCTTAGATTGGGTGAAAAAAGATTAAAACCTAAGTATCCCTACTAAACTGATTTCCCATGCTGATTACAACAATACTTCAGGGAAGAATTGGTGATACGAGAGCAGCTTTCCCAGCATAGAGGCCAAAAGATTGTCAGTTCAGTAATAATCTTCAGTGACAAGGTTTAAGTAAAAAAAAACTTGACCCATGTAGGTCAACTTGAGTCAAAGCTGAAATAACATGGTCTTTTTCTGTTCTACTAGAATTAAAATGATACTAATATACAGCTTCTCTAAATCCACAAAAAATACGAAGCATATCATTGTACACAACTGCAATAGTTCAGCCAAAAGAAATGAAAAAGAGCGTATCATTTATTCAGAATAACCTTTGTGATGTCTTATCAGAACCCATCAACAAATTAAAAGCAATCAGTCATTGCTCTTTTCATGTTTTCAGGAGTTTGTGCTTTATTCTTAAATCTATGGATTAATACCAAATGAGCAAAATAAATATTCAAAATTACCACTTTAAAAATAAATGATCTAAGCAATGTGCATTTGAAATTATTTAATTGAAAAGATAAAATATGCAAATTTAGTTTTATGCTAGCTTTGTGTAAAGATAAGTTTCATAGCTTCCACCTTTCATTATTATTTATAGTAATAACAAAATTGGGTACAAGTTACATTTTTTGAAGCTTGGAAGAGGTATAACATCTAGACACTATAAAGAATCTGGGAACCATAGATGCTTGAAGAAGAAAAATTGCTTGTAATAATGGTGGCATCATTTTGAAACAAGATGTGATTTCTTTTAACTGCCCTTGTTTGTTGAGGCCTGCTGTATTTGGGGAAATTCCTTGGATCTTTTTAAAACTAGTTGACATGTTGGCTTTTAAAGGGATGTTGTCTGTTTAAATATTGGTGCACAATCTTTACCCTCAAAAATTGTACATATCTTGATTATGCCTGTGGAAGTAGCTAAAAGGCCAGTAAGCTCTTTCTTATCCATGGTTTGTTTAGAGTAAAATCACCCTTCTTGATTTCTTGTGGTCCTACAAAACAAGAAATGTAAGTCATAAATAAATGCAGCATGTGGCTCTAGACTATTATGAGAGGAAATCTCAATTCTCATATAGTGATCAGCAGATCAGCAATGGAACTTCTGAAATTTGTACTTTTATCCTTGTAGAATAATATAAATGTGACCAACTAAGCTATCTGTATAACACACATTCACAATCATAATTGTTATATGTGAACTACAGCAATGTTTATTACTATCCTGCAACCATAAGTGTATTATGTATACCAACACTGAGATTTAGTCTAGTTTTTACTGAATTGCTGTATAACAAACAAAATTGTTTTGTTGACAACAATTCAGTTGGCAATAATATAAAATCTTTTTAAACGTTCTTCTCTGAAATCTCCAATATTTGTGTCGATCAGAGATACTTTATTATTCTTCCAATTTCAATAAATAAAAAGGATATTTGTTGTGATCCAGATGAAAAGTACTAATCTTCAGAAGTCTACTTTTA